TCAGGAGGTATTTCAACAAATTCACAACTGCAAGCACATACTTCTGTTAATAATGCATGAAAATTTAAATTTGACATACTTCTGATTTTGGAATACGCCTTGTTGTATGGAAACTTCGTTTTGGCAAAATAAAACATTCCATTCTCAACAAACTCTCCTTCCCAATCTTGTCGTCTTGGTCGTTGGGCAGGGTCAAAATTCAGGGCTGATATATAGCACTATTGGATGTACTACGAATCCATCGTAACTTAAATAACTTGAACTCTGTTAATACATTGTATAAACAAATTACATACCATACTTGCTCTGCAGAAAACACGCAGTCAACATCCGTGTGCATCATCAGCAAGATTGCATTCTTCAAATATGTATGATGAACAAGAAACGGGAGAGTGCATTGAATCAAAGCCACACCACATCGATTTCGGTCACAAAGGAAAGAAAACTCCTGGACGGCAAAGATGGATGACGCCGTATCGGTTGCGCTGTCCTCACTACGCCAATGAACATTGACCTCTTTAGCACTAAATAAACAAACCAAAATCTAATAATAGAATAAGCTAACTACTAACTATGATGTACTTCTAACAGCTTCTTTGTATATGAGATCATGATCTGTCGATACCCAAACGCTTCAGAAACTCAAAACATTTTTAATATTTCCTCCAACGCGATATTGCGAGCAAAGGTTTTATGCCGTTGACTGTTGTAGATTTTCAGTTTGATTCCTTTCGAACCTCCTCTTGCTAAAACAGAGTGCAGCTATATGAATTTGTCTCTGGTCAAATGGATACCTGAAAACGACACTCAATTACATACATTGAAATTTGAAAGAAATTCGTACCCACAGTTTTTACTGACCAAAGTAATAACATTAAAACGTCTAAAACAAAATAAACCAAAACTAGCCAAAGATACTGGGTTAGCAAGTGAGTATGTTTCATGTTTTGTCTAGTCTAGTCTAGTCATATGGATAGTCTCAGGAAGTATCATATTAAATTATATTAATGTTAATTTCAAGCTTTCAACTTGTTCAGTGACAACGAGTTAAATTGATATAAATATTTTATTATATACACCGAGCTAGTTTTGTAAAACTTTATTTACTTGATTATTACCGCCATTTGATTGTATGTCAATATTTGATCTGAATTTTGTAGTCTTGAACTTGTTTGAACTTCAATTGTGTCTCATTGATACATGATACTCTATCAATCTCTATATAGAAGTTGCTAAATCAATAAAATTGTTTGTTTTTCATTATGTTTGTAAGATGCTAATCCATCTGTTAGTGGGTATCATGTCCTCACGACAGCAGCAACATCCAGCGCAAGTAGTTCAAAGGAGTACGGACTGCTTTCCAAAGGGGCTGCACGGGAAGTTGCAGTTTGTGAAGGCCAATTGGTGCGTTCCTGTCTTCTAGATGAAAATGAAACCAGTCTTTGGATGCCGTCTACGCAGATTTGCGTAAACCAATCGCAGGAAACTTCACTCTGTGAGTTGGACCTGGTAATGAGGTTCTACACGCTCTTGGTATAAATGCGGGATTGGAGCAAACCGGAAGTCATCGGTAAAAGCTTGTCAAACATGTTGGATACAGTAAATTCGTAAAAGATCCCTTGGGCTGGCGTGGTGCTAATAATGAGTTCGTGGAGTTGTCTTTCTACTTTTGCTGTTACGACCCTAGGGTGCTCTTAAGCTGCTGGGAATTGCGTCATTTTACATCCTAACAATAAAGCATAGCAATACGTAACTGAACGAAGTATTACCA